AAAGAAAACCATGATGCCAAAAGTCAATGATGCGATCATGCCTAGAATATGCTGCAGTACTTTTGTGTCCTACTAAACTCTTGTTAATCTGCAAAGCTTCAGTCAATGCAGACAGAAGTCCCCTTTCTTCGCATCACGTAGTCTTCAATAAGATGCCAACGTAAAGCTCCCTTCATATGAAAACAGACTGTTTTTAATTCACCTACCATCGGGGGGCGGGGGGGTGATGCTAAGAGTCTTATTCTTAAAAGTATTGCCTCCATTCCTACTAAACGAGATTCAGTTCAATGTTCCGGTAAGGGCCTCAAGATACTATAAGCTCATTAGATTGCTTCAATTGTTTCGATCTAGTTCTGAGCTCTACCCCCCTTTGCGGAGCGTATGTAAAAATCTTAATGAGTTGCATCATCAATTCGTCTTAGCAGTGGGCAATAAAGTTGTTAGAGGAAAACGTTTCGGGAACTATCTTGATGAAATTTTCACCTGAGAATAGTAAGTAATGCTATATAGCAGACAGCATATCTATCTCTTACATTTCATTTAACAACGTAGCATTTTTAATGAAAGAAAACTAATCTATGTTGTAAACTTAGTTACCTAACTATGGGTAAATCTCCTTTAAGATACCACAATTGCTCTATGCATGTAAATATACTTATACACATGTGCTCGTAATAAAAACAAGTAAGAAAATTATATTCGGTAATAATCGAATCTTTCATGGCCATCACCGTGATCCTAAAAAAAGGAAAACAACTATATTTTCAAACTCTATAGTATTGGGTGGGAGCGATTGATTTTTCCTATATAATAAAAGTTTATATGGTGTATGTGCTGTAGTTTACGAGTAACAAGCAAACAACACGGAGAATAAAGATGTTCACAGTTTTTGTTACATAGACGTGTTGGCCTTGTAGGCGTGTTCTTCGAAAAGTTTGGGGCATTTTTAAATTATTTTTGCAAGCGATATCTTCATGTTTGCGAAAAACAGAATGTTTACGACACACACTACACAGCTGCGTCGTGCTTCGGTGATGGGAGTAATAACAGTACAAGAAAATCATTTCAATGCATGCGAAATAAAGTAAATAAAATAATATAAAATTTACAAATACGTTGTCCAACATTTTCATTGTATTAGGGTATATTTGAAACAGTATCAACAATTGCGAGTATGAAGTTTTAAATATAAGTGTTCCATCCAATTCATTCATAATGTCAGCGAATCTACAATCACATTTTCACACGCGTAACGTAATGAATGTAAAAATACCGAGATATAGATTTAAAAAGACTTTCACATCATGCTGATTATATTGCTAGTATTAAAAAAAAATTAAATATTGCTAAATAAAACACAAGTGCAGATGCACTATAATGGAGCACGTCTACAATTAAATACCGTACACCACCTTACAGGTACCTACCTTTATATCGACATTTCAAAATGAAGCGTTATATGAGAAGTGGTCGTAAAAGTAATCCGATCCGAAACATTTTCAATAGCGTTCGGCTTTCGGCTGAAACACGTCAGTGTATCGAATTTCATCAAAATATCTAAAAATATTCGCTTTATAAGTTAAACGCGAGGAAACAAGACAGACAGACAGACAAGCTTAGATTCAAAATCAAGTCCTTCTTGACGTTGCATATATCCGGACAAACTTAATACGCCTGTTTACAACAAGTGGGGTATAGGGTATAATAAAAAACCCACTTTCGGGTCTAAAATCGATCAATAGCATACCGATGTGTCAATCTTCTTGCAAAAAACTTTTGTATAACAAAATGCAAATACTTTTGCAGAAATT